TTTTGCCAGAAGTTAACAGTTTAGACTGAATTTTTCCATGCTGGCTGTCTGCCTCAGGCTGAATATGTTGCAAAATTTCAGCCAAAATGGTCCAACCATTTCTGAGAATGAGGCACTGTTTTGCCCCTATTAAAAAGTGAGCATTTTTCTTTAAAATGCATTGGAAAAGAGACTTGAAATTTGGTAGAATTTGTGCCAGGCATGAGCCTTTTGCTAGCTGCATGAAAATTCACTCAAATTTGGCCTTTAGTTTAGTGCTCATGAAAGGTGCTAGACTGGAAGCAGTATTTCTCTGTTTGTCTCCTGATCAGGTACACCATAGACAGCAGAGCGCTTCCCTGTCTTAGGGTATGCCTACACTAGAAATGCTACAGAGGCACTGTAGCGTAGACACTAAAGGGATGGCCGGGGTTCTGCCATTGCTGTACTAAAACCTCTCTGAAGGCTTGTCTACACTTGAAACGCTGTGGCAGCACTTCGGAGTAGGCATGACCTACTCCAGTGGGAGGTATTCTCCTCGCAGTTTAGGTAATTCACCTCCACAAGAGGAGGTAGCTAGGCCTACACTGGGGCTTCGGTCAGCTTAACTACATCTCTCAGGGGCATGAGATGGGCTTCTCATGTCTTACAGGCCCTATTATGAACGTGATCCATTATTCCAAGAACTGTCTAAAAGAAGAAATTGTGGAAAACAAAAAACAATTCACTGACTTTATGAGAATTAGACTGAAGGCCTGATTCTAATCTCATGTAGATGAGTTTAGATTTTAGAACTTCTGATTTCACTGATGTTATAGCTGCCTTTCACCACTGGGAGATCATAATGCACCACTACACTTCTATGAATATGAGTACTGTTATGAACCATGGGTCTGATGTTGCACCCACTGAAGTCAACAGAAGTTTTGCCATTGGCTTCAGTTAGAGCAAGATCGGTTCCCAAAAATATGAATCATTATGTTGAATAGCAATGGGCCTATAGCCTTAGTTGTCATTCTTATATTTGGTTCCCAGCCAGTAAAAGAAAATTCATTCATTACAAACAATAGAAAAGATACACCTAAGCCATTCCAGTCTCTGTTAAATAAGTATTTAGAATTAGCAAAATACACCAGTGTGGATTTTAAAATCATTCACTTTAAGGTATAGTACAAAAGTCCAAATGACAAAAAACACTTACAACAGAAATCCTGTATTTGTATTCCCTGCATTCCTCTAACCACAACCATTTGTAAAAGGAACAAAATGCTGATTTCTAGGTGTGCCTGACCAAGTCAAGGTCTTATATTCATGTAAACAAAGTATTAGTTTTGCTTGTGGTGATCAGCCCATCTCATCCCACAACAGAGGTGGCTGTATTTCAAAGACTGATAAGTGTCCCTACATAATGGATATACATGTCATACATACATATTGTTGACACAGGAGAATTTTGACACAGGACAACTGTTTTGGGGGAAAGGTGTTGGATCAGGAGTGTGCAAAGTACAGCCCAGGGGCCACATCTGGCCCTTCAGATGTTTTAATCTGTCCCTTGAGCTCTCGCCGAGAAGCAGGGTCGGGGGCTTGCCCTGCTCCGCAAATGTTGTGGCTCCCGGAAGCAGCGGCATGTCCCCACTCCGGCTCCTATGCGTAAGGGCAACCAGGGGGCTCTGCACACTGCCCCCACCGCAAGCGCCACCCTTGCAGCTCCCATCAGCCAGGAACCGTGGCCAATGGGAGCTGCGGGGCAGTGTCTGCGGACAGCGCAGTCCGCAGAGCCGCTTGGCCACGCCTGCGCGTAGAAGCCGGACGGGGGGGACATGCTGCTGCTTCTGGGAGCTGCTTGAGGTGAGAGCCGTCCAGAGCCTGCACCCCTGACCCAAGTGTGACCAGATGTCCCGATTTTATAGGGACAGTCCTGATTTTTGGGTCTTTTTCTTATATAGACTCCTATTACCCGCAACCCCCTGTCCTGATTTTTCACACTTGCTGTCTGGTCACCCTACCTGATCCCCTCCAGAGTCCCAACCCCCTGCCCCAGCCCTGATCCCCCTCCTGTCCTCCAACCCCCTCGGTCCCAGTCCGGAGCCCCTCCCACACCCTGAACTCCTTATTTCTGGCCCACACCCCCAGCTGGAGCCCTCACCCCCTCCCGCACCCCAACATCCAATTTTGTGAGCCATACAATTTCCATACCCAGATGTGGCCCCCCGGGCCAAAAAGTTTGCCCACCCCCGTGCTAGATGATATACAAACTACAGAAATAATCTGTACTTTAGCTAGGTGTACCTGGGAGGGATCCAGAGCAATAGCAGGGCCTACAGTGAATCACTTGAGTGCAGGGTTTATAGTTGTTACAGTGGGATCATTAATGACCACATGTGTGAAGGCCTTTGGCTTTATTGCTGCAAGAAAGAAACCTGCTCTTGCTTTGGACCCTTCCAACACACACCCGGGGAAGAGAGAAAATAGAAGAATATAAGAAATAAGATTATTATCAGAGCTTTCTTGAACATGAGGAGCTCACTCTTTACTAGCAATTATTAATTCATCTCTGTCACATTCACCTTTCTGGAATTATTTCCCTGCTGGATACCATCTTTGATTCAAACAGCGTCTTTTTGTAGAAATTGAAAGGCAAAGTTAGATTAAGGATGATTAGACAATTCCAAATTCTACCAATCGCTAGCTCTGTGGCCTTGGCCAGTTCATTTAGGGAATATTTTCAAAGGCACAAATGGCAGTTAGAAACCTAACCTGACAGTCAGTGGGCGCTAGGTGCTTAACTGCCGTTTGTGCCTTTGAAAATCTGCCTTTTACTGAATCTGCATCTCAGTTCACACATTTTCAAAGAAATGGGAACAACCAAACGTATCTGCTTCACAGCTGTAATTATTAGTGGTATAGTTCTCTGAGACCTTCCAAGGAAATATACCAGATAAACACAACTGTTATTGAAAGTTCTGTGTGATATAAACTGTAGAACTGAGACCAACACAACAGCAGACAGCACACACATTGAAGAAGACACACAAATTGGTACCCTAGAATATATAGGACGGATGGGCCAGGACAGAGATGTTCAGCGTGGTCTTTCTTCTGTTTGGATGGAATGAGATTGTGATGATGAAGATAAAGGATCAGTAGGAATGTATGTAGAACCTGATGATGAAGTAGTTTGACAATTAATGAGGCCAAGATTAATTAAAATATATATTACCTTCCAAAATCGCCATAAAAATTCCCAGACTATCTTATTTCAATGGGTTTAATCACTATTATCTGTGCCTGAAGGGTAATTTTTTAGAACTGTTCCATATTTTCTTCAATATCAATACTTCTGGGATGTCAGTTTTTCAGAATTTCTCTGAGCTTTACATTTGGAGTTCCTGAATATCATGAGTTGTAAAGTAACCCGATCAAATGCTAGAGGCTAGATTTAAAGCAGAGGCAGAGAGTCCCAACAAAACATTGAAACCTAAAATGAATTTAAACTCTGGTTCATTGAGTGGAAAGACTATAGATCTACAATGTACATAATTAATTAGACTCAAATGTACCGACTTCCTTAAATGTACTAATATTTTTAAACATGTGAGTGAATCAGGTCACAGACTGGAACAAAGTGTCTTGTGAGTAATGTCCTCATCAAAGTGAGTTTGAAGATAAGCACACAAGTGCAAGGTCTCAACTCAAATAATAATATTTTTAAATAAGTGATCACTGTCCCAGGATTTCAATTTCTTTATGCTTTGAACACATTTTATTCCATTTAACTTCTGATAAATATATATAGTTTTAACTTCTGTTTGGTAATGTTCCTTTGTGGTAATAGAATACTGTTAGTGTTAAGGTGCACTGAATTTTTTTTCCTTTTATTTCAGGGAATTATTTTTCTTTCAGTGTTTTTGGTTGCATATTTTGTTTCTTCCATTTTTGCTGGTTTGGAATCCATTCTCATACTGGTATCAAATCAGAGCTGCAATGGTTTTATACTGGTATAAGTGGGAGGAAAAATTAGTCTCTTCATACTATTTCTACTTTTCCGTGTTGAGATTTTCAGACTCCTTTGATCTAATATGGACTGTTCCTTCCCAAATGTGTGTTTCCGAGCCAATGATGTATTCTTACTGTATCACACAGTCAAAGAGGGATGATCCTTAATGGGAGCAATTCAATGTTTGTACAGAAAATAGGTTGGATAAATACTCTCTGAGCTCCAAACAGAAGCATGGACATCCAAACAGTGACTACAGCAAAGACTGGTGTGCAGTTTCCTTTCTGTCAGGTCATCCTATTTGTTTCCCTGCCTTCCTCCTGGCTGACAGAGTCAATTCTTATATCTTTGATTAGGAACATAGGAATTGCGATACTGGATCAGGCCAATGGCCATGTAGTCCAGTATCCTGTCTCTGACAGGAGCCAGAATCAGATGCTTCAATGGATGGTGTAAGGACTCTGCAGTAGGAAGATGTGTAATAATTCCCTTCTCCCCGCCCTCCCCACCCCCATCCTCATTGACTTAAGACCTGAATTCTAATTTAAGTCAATGGAAAGGCTGATTGATTTCAGTTTTGTTGGATCAGCTCTCAGATGATACCAGAGTGTGTAGCAAAATAGTGCTTATAATGTCAATAACAATTTCAGAATAAAATTTAGGAACACGTGAGTACCTTGATTGCTTTCCTCTTTCAGTTCATTCATAATTTCATTCTTCCTCATTAAATGGCAACTATTGCCAGTGATCAAATTAGCCCATTGCCTAAAATAAACAAATTTGAGCACAGTAAAGGATGAGAGTTTTTTAAACAAATGGTTTTGATACTGAGGTGTTTACCAAATTACCCAACAAGTGAATTAAGAAGATGCCATAAATAGGTGGAAGGTGTATCTATGTAAGTGCTAGTCATTATTATTGCTTGATGTTCATGGCATTTTAGAGTAGTGATAAAAAAAGATTTTTGCCAGGAAGATCTTACAGTTTAAAAGCCTGATTCTGCAAATATTTACTTCCACAGGACTACTAATGGTAGTAAGCACCATGCCTGATACGTGTTTTCAGAATCCAAGCCCCTAAATTAAGACAGAAGTGGAGATGACAACATGATTATGCATTCACTGGAGAAGCTATTCCATGTGGCTTGGATCCAATCCAATCCCTGTGGAAGTCAACGGAAAGACTCCTATTGATGTTATTCTTAGCTATCCAGGTATTTCTATGTTTTTATATGCTTCCTAAAGGCCTCACAATCCTAACACCACCTCTGTGAGGAAAAGAAGCACTATCCCTACTTTACATATGGTGAATTAAGGCACAGAGTAGATTAAGTGACTCGCTCATGGTTACACAGTACACCTGTGGGTAAGCCAAGAACTGATCTCAAGTCTCCTCAGTCCAAGTACAGTGCCTTATCTAGTGGACCATCCTTCCAATCTCTAGTGGGAGTTGAATCAAGCCTCTAGAAAGTAGCAAATACTTTTTTAAAAAAGTTTGTATATATTTTATTTTGTAATGTAGTGTAAAATAAAATGTAGCCACTTCAGGGATGAGGACAGGATTCTTTTTTTTGGATCTGGTTATACATCCCCCCATGCACACATCCCCGTTTTGCCCTGTCAAACAAGTTAGTAGTTTGTGGTGATGTTTTTTTAAAAAACGAATTTAATTCTACATCTTTCTTGAGCAGTCTGGAAGTCTTGTTTCTAGCTACAGAACAGGAACCAACCAGGCAGCAGAAGTGCAAGTCTCCCACACAACCCTACAACTGAACCTTCAACCTTGCAAGTTTAAAGGGATAGTTCAGGTTCCTTACCTAATCCCTTGCTTGGTCCCTCTGCCACAAAGCATGATGGGATCTTTTGTGATATGGGCACCTGGCCACAAGGAAGTAGATGGATCTAATTTCTCTGAAGCCCATCACCATGGTCTCTTAGAGTTTCCTTGTTTCACGAAGGCTAAAGAACACACTTCAGATTTTTACTACTTTTGGCCACTACTGACCTGGGTCAGATTTAAACAAACAAGCTATATTTTGACTCAGTTTTGTTTGTAAATGCAGAATAAAATGTAGAGATTTGCTTCTTTGAGTTGTGTTTAAAAATCCCTCCTCTAGCCGCCTTTTCATTTCAGATTTTCAAATTATTACAGAATGGTTTGGTTTCTATGGAATATTACTGGAAGAGAAAGTACAATGAGACTATGTGGTAAAGAGTAAAAAAGCTGAAATTCACTTGATCAGAAAAAAAACAGGGTCTGATTTTAATCTCACATTAGTTTTACACTGGTGTAACTCCACTGATTTACACAGTTTTAAATAAGATAAAAATTAAGCCCTACACCTGAGTGCTGTAAAATTAAGCCTAAAATAATATTATTAAAATGGATTATAAGTAAATTAGGAGGATCTGAAAACCTGCTTATCAACTGTGTAACTAATAATATACTGAAAAATGGAAAATACTGAATTATCACCTTCGTTTAATTGCAGATAGAGATCTATAATGAAAGCAAATACCGTTTGCACATATATACAGCTTTGTCATACAATAAGCATAAAACTTTTGTTACATTTCTGCTTTATCAGTTGACTGTTTCATTCTGGAGATTTGTACAAGTTACAATAGTAAATGAAGTAAGAATGAGAATCCTAATAAAATTCAAATACTGTACTTAAAATAAAAAACATGGTTGTTCATAAACAGACTATTGACTTTCATTGGGTTAAACAGCTCATGTAGTGATTAGGCTTGGAAACCATAATTGTTCTTGTCACCCAAACTCTGCTGCAGTCAATATCTTTTTATCATATACATTTTTAATCATGTATTAATAAACAAGAAGGTGTGTTTTATTGATGGCTGGATTAGTTTATTGACCAACTCGACAACTCTATATCCAGTTTCTGAAAACATAAACAAGGTCAACATGTAAAGATAGGGTAAAGTATATCAAGGATAGAGAATGTGCTTTTCCCCCAGGTCTTGGTAGGATTTTCCTTTTGTTTAGGAATTCTAGACAGGGAACAGTTTCGAAACTTTGGTTGGAAATTGCATAAAGAGGTTTTCTTTCTATTATGATAGCATTGGAGCCTATAAAAGGGGTACATCTGTACAGTATACCTTCATTAAGGACCATCTCTAGTAAGCAATTCCCCAGCTCGACTTTTCCCCTTTTATTATTCTTCCAAGTTTACAATGCAGTTTATTCAGCGTGCAATTAAAGGCCAACTCTACTAAGCAATTGTTTTCCTGGTCTCCCCGGTGTTCTGTCTCTCATTCACACAAACACAAAATTCACAAGCATATACCACACTGTCAGCTCAACTATCAGCTCCTACGAGGCTGGACTGTGTAAAGGGAAAAGGAAAGGTGGGATTGCCCAGGCAGCAATACTGGGAGATTGTGTGCCTTTGGAAGGCTGGGGCCAAACTTTCAAAAACTGGTTCCTAAACTGCACCTATACTATGTAAACATGGAAAACTTTTTCTTGTCCTTAACTCTGCTGGCCATAGATTTCTCCTTGTGTCTCTTTGCTACTCTGATCCATTTTCTACAGTTCTTAGCTTCTGATTTACATTCATTACTATCCACTTCCCCTTTCTTATATGTGTATGTGTGTATTTATTTTAATTTGTTATAGCGGTCTTCACTTCCCCGCTAAACCAGATTAGTTCTTTTAACCAGTACGGCCTTCTTCCTTGATTTTGAGATTGTGACTTTTTGGGCATCTATTAATGTATTCTTAAACAATTCCCAATTATCATTCACATTTTTCTGATTAAATTCTTCCTTACAGATGATTTGGCTCATAATTATTTTCAGCTTTCTGAAATTGGCGCTTTTATAGCTCCAAGTATATCTAGTACTGTTTTGAACTTTATTCTGTTTGCATATTATAAATGTGATAATTACTTTTTAGTTCTGCAATCAATTCTTCTTTAACTGTCACAATGAGATCGAATATAGAATTTCCCTGGGTTGAGGGAATGATAGCATGAGACCTCAAGCATATGTTACTCAAATTGAAGTTCACACAGCTTCTCCCTGCCCCAACATTATAGATAGGTGCTTAAGGAGCCAGTCTTCCTGTTCCCTAGTATGATTTGGTAGTCTGTGGCAGTCACCAACTCATACCCCATCTTGAGCTTTATCTCAGAGAAGACCAGGCAGTTGTGGAGAAGCTAAATTAATGCTTTGCATCAGTCTTCATTGCAGAGGATGTGAGAGAGATTCCCTCATCTGAGCCATTATTTTTAGGTAACATATCTGAGGAACTGTCCCAGACTGAGATGTCAATAGAGGTGGTTTTGGAACAAACTGATGAATTAAACAGCAATAAGTCACTGGTACCAGATGGTATTCACTCAAAAGTTCCAAAAGAACTCAGATACGAAATTGAAGAACTACTAACTGTGATATGTATCCTATCACTTAAATCAGCCTCTGATATCTATTTCTCCAAGATGAATCTCATTTATTTATATTCTATGTTTCTAACCTTTGTAGGTTCCTTTGTATAGCTAATTGGTTCATATTATATTGATGCGGGAGAGAAGAAGTGCCTTTTAGTACAATTTACTCATGTGGCTGTTTCTGGTGCTTCCACTCTAATAGTTTAAAAGGTGTAGCTTTTATATTTTCTCTTGCTTGTGCCACTGCATAATCCTTGGGCCACTGGTCAAGGGAAACACTTAAGATCTTTATATACCAAGGTAAAAAAGAGCTAGTGTAATGATGAAGACAGAACTACTAGTGTAGAAAGTTATTAAACACCACCAGTAGCCCAAGGGCACTGCAGTCTTAAATGGGGATCTTTAAGAAGGCACATGTGTAACACAGAATCCTGTACTCCATTAATACCCTGAAGTACTGTGAGAAGGGAGCTCAGACAGAAGCAAAGAAGCAGATTATATTGTACATTGCCACAATAAATATACTTTTGACAGAAAATAAAAGGTGAAACAGAAAGACATCCATGCTGAATGATGAAGAGGAGCCTGCAGATGACTAGTACACTGGAGAAACTGTTCATCCTTATATGACTATTACCCTGGTAATGCTGCCAAGTGCACTAAGATCTTGTGTTAGAAGTGCCCGTCATGTAAGCTAAAGCTGCCCAGAGGCACCCCATTAATTGGACTATTCCTCCTTGCCAATTGTTGTCAAAGTTTTAGCGGATCAGGCCAGGTCTTGTCAGCTTACTATTACTTCATCACTTTTTTGATTTACATATTTTCTGTAGGGCTGTCAATTAAGTGCAGTTAACTCATGCGATTAACTCAAAAAATTAATTGCGATTAATCACAGTTTTAATCACACTGTTAAAAAACAGAATACCAATTGAAATGTATTAAATATTTTGGATTTTTTCTACATTTTCATATATATTGTATTCTGTGTTGTAATTGAAATCAAAAAGTGTACAAAAACAAAACAATGTAAAACATTAGAGCCTACTAGTCCACTCAGTCCTCCTTCTTGTTCAGCCAATCACCAAGACAAACAAGTTTATTTACATTTACAGGAGATAATGCTGCCCTCTTCTTAGAATCATAAAAGATTAGGGTTGAAGGAGACCTTAGGAGGTCATCTAGTCCTGCAGTTTTTCCATTGGAACAGGAGAATCCCCTTGGATTCTATCCTAATGGTACTATTGGTATTATAAATATCCCCTCTGAATTCCTATCATACATTTTTTTAATTGAAACTGCAGATTCCATATGCAACTTATGAAGAATTTCATGTTTTCTAGGCAGGTGTATCGGATATATGGAGGTGGGGAAACAACCCAAAAATAGTTAATATTGAAAGGAAGGCAACTGCTAAGGCAGACTTATGGAATTATTGAAATGAGTATTACAAACCACCCATCAGTGGAGAAAGAAAATGGTGACATAGGCAGACATCTGAGCCTGGAATGAAAAGCCAGGAACACGTCAGTTTGAATCATGGATCTGACACAGACTTATTTTGTGGATTTAGGCAAATCCCTTAACATCTCTCAGTTTTCCCATTTGTAAGATTTGGATAATAACTACCTATGTCAAAGAGGTGTTGTTCAGATTAATTAGTTAATATATGTAAGATGCTTTGAGGATTTAAAAGGCTGTAAAAGTGCAAATATAAATATATATATATAAATATATGTCAGGCCTATCTAAAATTAACAGGAGGATGCTCTAGATAGCAACATAAGTGTATGAGGAACTGTATAAATGGTCAACTCTGCTGAACAAACAACAGGTCCCTTCCTTGAAGAGCTTAGGCTCTTAGGATTCTATTAGGAGAGAGAATACAATGGAACTTGTACAATACAGGGTGCTACCTGGTCACTGTAATTGGAATACTTCCCAGGATAGGAGGATTTACAGGAGGAGAGGAAGGGGGTTTATACAACAGATGTGGGCTCATTGTACCTTAATTACCTTAGTATATGGACAGAGGTGAAATGTGGCACAAAGTCAGGAGTTGGTAAAGGAAACAAAGAGCCCAGTCCTTAGATATCTAAGCACAGTTCCTATTAAAGCCAATGGGAGCTTTGCCAAAGTGAGGACTGAGGGTGTGATTGTATCACAAAGTTCCACATTCAGATCTCCCCCTTTCGTGGTAAGGAGAGGGTAGCCTTCTCTGCAGCAGCCAAAGATGCTCTGAGGCTCAGCACACAAGGAGGAGGCAGGGTGTGGGAGGGGACATGGGTCCTGCTGAATTTTGCCTAGAAAGATAAAACAGCCACAGGATGAATTATCTTCCCATATCCCCCACTCCTGAGGCTGGGAACCCCTCTAAAAAGCCACTAGCTGCAGACACCATGTCAGCATAGCTACATTGAACTCATACCATCAGGGAACAGAAACAGGACCTACAGGGGACAAAGAGACTGTGAGAAGCCCTGTGCCTCTGTGTAGCTAGTCTAGGTCTCCCACTAATGGCCCAGGATCTGTGAATCTGGGTTTCTGGGCTGACCCTATTATCTGTTCCAAGATAAGCAAACCTCACCCACCCATGAAACATCTCATAAGAAAACTCAGCAAGGTTTTCGTAACTGAGTTCCCTTCTCCCTTAACTCCCTCCTCTGAGTTTTTCCACCTAAGGAGGCAAGGGGCCCCAAGTAAGGACAGAAGTATTTTCCCTCAAGGAAACTGTCAGGAGAGGAGTGTGGAAACACAGGGAGTGTGAAGTGGTATAGGACGATCTGAGAGCAGGGCCAGAGTGCTTTAAATATGGAAAGGAGAAGCCTGAACTTAATGGAGAAGAAGAGGGGGGAGCTATTGTAGCAATTCAAGCAGGCAGGGAGTGTGGGAGAGATGGTCAGGGTGGTGGGAAAGGAAGATGTTCTTGGCACCAGCATTTTGGATTGATTGGTGGGAGTAGAAAGTGGTGTAAAGAACAATACTACAAATAACATGTATAAAGAGTATGGAAAAAATGAGTAAACAACATGTGACTTTTAGTGCCAAGACCCATTTTTTCCTTGGATATTAATTTTAGCAAGCACAAAAATACACTTCCAGTGTCCTAACAGTCATGAGTGTATGCAGTGTAGTTGTATCCATGCCGGTCCAAGGATACTAGAGAGACAAGGTGGGTGAGATAATATTGGAAGTGGGTCCAATAAAAGATATTACCTCACCCACCTTATCTTTCTCAAAAGATCATGGGGTCTGTTCCAGAAGGTGCCTCTGTATTTTGGAGATAAACTTAAATCCCTTTCAAAGAAGCGATGTAAAAAAAACACAAACAAACCATACACCCCCTTTCTGGCCAGCACTGCACCAGGTGTAGGCACACAGAGAGGTTATATTTGCTTGGTGCTGTCACAAGGCCCTTCTGCACAGATTTTATGCCAACAGGTGTCCTGCTCCCTGGGTTGGGCTTCAGGACTCCTCATAACCCAGGGTTAAATCTAGTCCTGTAAATTTAATTAGTTTCATACATATGGATAATTTAGTATAATATATTTGGAGGATGTAACTTTCCTGAAGTCAAAGTGCTTGACTTTGTGTTGATAAAATAGAACATAATAAGCCTTCCTAAATTATGTAAACTGAAATGACACATAGGGTCTGACCTTGGTCAGCCAATGGGGAAGCAAGGTCAAATTTTCAGAAAAGTTACTACCTATTTTGGGTGCCAATCTTGAGATACCCAAAAACCGAGGCACTTAAAATCAGCGACCATTTTTAAAAATGTAGACCTTTGTCATTGACTTCAGTTGCAGAAGGATCAGGCACATTATAGCACCGCACCATGTGTGAAGGGCCTGACCCTGCATTCCTTGCACGTCAAAACTCACATCAAAACTCAATGGCCCTGTTGACTTGAACGAGAGTTATAGATGAACAGGGTATGCAAGGATTGGCCACTCAGCATTCAGTGCCATTTGGATATTTGTAAATGACTTGTACAGTACAGGAGACAAGGTGCCCACTACAAGGTAGTAAAGAGTGCAATTTCATGCACTTCACACAGTCCTTCTATACACACGTTCTGTTTACTACCTATACCAACACTCAAGGAGGACCCTGAATTTAGTGACTAGTTATAGTATATAACAGTTTCTCACACACAAAAAAGATCAGTTTATGAACTGAAAATGATTACTTTTTAAAAAATACTTCATTGATGCACATCATTTGAGAGCCACACATTCAAATTCACATTAAAATAACAAAGCTGATACATTTTTACTACATCTGCAGACCAGAGATCGCACTTTGCTTTAAAAAGCACCACTTTATTCAACTTTTCTTGAAAGCAGACTTCTCTCCTCATCTCCAGAAAGTCCTTAGTGTGACATCTGTCCCCGCACTGTCACCTGTTTTAAAACTAACAAATGCATGACACATAATACAAGATTTATAAATTAAAGAAACCCACCCCTTTTAAGTAATATTCTTTAAATCTCAGTTTTTGACAGTCCTCCTATTTGCTCAGTAACTGTAATAGGCGTATTTTTCAGAAAATAGTGAATAAAAACTGACAAGCTATCGGGGGAATCTGAATGCATAATTGATAGGGGCATAAATTAATATGATTAGGCCTTTATTGGGTGCCACTGCTGCCAAACCTACAAAAGGGGCATGGAATAAAACATGGCTGTGTTCTCAGTGCTGATAGGCATCAATATGTAATGCATATTATCTCAAGCCTTCTCATGTAGTCTGCTTATGACAGCACTCAACCTAATTGAAATTTTTATCTTTCTGTTGCATACAGACAGTTTTGACTAGCTGCTTCCAGGGAAGAGACAGAACTCCAAATGACCCAAGTGAAGGTTTCTCTGTGGAGGTACACATCCTTCTCGCAAATCACTTTAAAATGGCTTTCTACTTTCTGGCTTTATAAAGTCATCTTCAGCAAGCTGCATCAAAGAAGACCTCAAGACCTGGTTTGCTTGTCCCCTTTTTAAAGGACCCTAACAATGCATTCCTCCAAAAGGCAAAAGAGACAGTCAAAAGATTTCTGCATAAAAATCAATATATTATCTGTTCACTTCCATTTGGGCTTCATTCTGCCACATTTATTCATGCTGAGTATGTATTGCTGGGTTGGAAATGTTTTTCCCATCCTGCAAATAGTTTTGAGATTCAAAACATTTTCTCAGTCCAAATTGAGATGAAAAGTTGATATCTCAAAATTTTCTGTGAACTGAACCCCTCAAAAAAGTTTGGTTCAGGTCAATCAAAAGTTTTTGTTATGACTCTTTTTTCCTGTAAATTAACTTAAATTTTGAAATGTAAAGACACTTCAGACCTCTAAAAAGGATGTTTTGACAATTTCAAAATGTTTTTCTAATTTTTTTAAAAGGAGATATTAGTTAAAATCAACCTTTACCCACAAAATATTTTGCATTCAATGAATCAGCATTTTCCAACAAAAAAAGTTTCATCAAAAAATTCTTGACCAGCACTACTGAGTAGTACTTTATTCCATGAGTATTCCTGCAAATAATTATTAATGAACATTTTTATTTCAATAAATATTGAAATAAATACGGCTAGGTGCTGTACAAATACAGATAAAGTGGCAGTCTCTGATTCAAAGAGTTTACAGTCTAGAATGGGATTATTCCTGGAGTAAGATACTACTTAATGTGAAGGGCAGGAGCAGACTCTGAAACTCACTCTAAGTTTTAACCTCCTTTGGCATAAGAGATTCATAGATTCCAAGGCCAGAAGGGACCACGATAGTCATCGAGTCTGACCTCCTGTAACACAGACCATAGAACTTCCCTGAAAAAATTCCTAGAGCATGTATCTTTCAGAAAAGCATCCGATCTTGATTTAAAAAACTGTCAGTGATGGAGTATTCACCATGACGCTTGGTAAACTGCTGCAATGGATAACTTAAGAATATAAGAACAGCCATACTGGGTCAGACCAATGGTCCATCTATCCCAGTATCCTGTCTTCTGACAGTGGTCAATGCCAGGTGTTTCACAGGGAATGAACAGAACAGGTAATAATCGAGTGACCCATCCCATTGCCCATTCCCAGCTTCTGGCAAACAGGAACACCATCCCGGCACATCCTGGTAATAGCTATTGATGGACCTTTCCTCCATGAATTTATCTAGTTATTTTTTGAACCCTGTTACTGTCTTGGCCTTCACAACATCGTCTGGCAAGGAGTTCCACAGATTGACTGTGCATTGTGTGAAGAAATACTTCCTTTTGTTTGTTTTAAACCTGCTGCCTATTAATTTTATTTGGTGACCCCTAGTTCTTGTGTTCTGAGAAGGAGTATATTACACTTCCTTTTTTACTTTCTCCACTCCAGTCATGATTTTATAGACCTCTATCATATTCCCCCTTAGTCATCTCTTTTCCAAGCTGAAAAGCTCCAGACTGACTCTCCTTATGTGGAAGCTATTCCATATCCCTAATAATTTTTGTTGCCCTTTTCTGAACCTTTTCCTATTCCAATATATCCTTTTTTGAGATGGGATGACCAAACCTGCGTGCAGTATTCAAGATTTGGGCATAGCAGGGATTTATATAGAGGCAATATGATATTTTCCATCTTACTTTCACTATTAAAAATGTACACCTTGTTTCCACTCTGAATTTGTCTCTTATTACTTCATGTGCTGTTTCTAAATGCTAGAATTTATTCTAGAAGTCCACACATCTATTTTCATAAATAAATAATAAAAATAGTCACTTCCCCCCATGAAATAAGATATATTTATACTTGTGGTTAAAAAGACAAAAACACTATTGCTCACAAATGATTTTCTTCTGCTAATTTACAATTTTTCATTATTCTAAGCTGAATTCCATTGTCATATAATCATAAACTGTAGGTCATCCATAAATATAAAAAGGCCACCTGTGTTGTGAAATTTGCAGAATGACATGTCGAGAGTCCTAGAGAGTCTAAGTATCTGCACCTGTAATTTTCCAGCAATTTGTATATTCCACAGCGTATAAAATACTCTGAGTTGCATTTTACATCTGCCCTTGGCAGTTATAGGTTTAAGATGTGAAATAAACTCAACATGATTTCCTTAACATTTGTGTATTGCAAACAGAAAAGTCAGGTCATTTTATGGGGTTTGTGGGAAAATGAGTTGCTAACTGGAGACTGGACAATCAAAACTAATGGACCATTAGAACGTTTTCTGTACTCCCGTGAAGAAAGTCACAGCCCTTCTTCAGCTCTAACATTAGCCTATCATCAAAATGATGTTTTAATTGAGTCTGAATCATAGTTTTTCAGATCTTTCCATTCCATGAAAAAAAATTGTATTTTAAGTTTTCATTCCAATTTGGAATGAAAGCAAATTTTGAAATATTGCAATTTCTAGTGGGATGGAAACTCCCATTTTCAACCAGCTCTACCATTAGTTGCTATCTTATTTCTCTATTGAAATGTCATACTGTTCTCTAGACAACAAATAAAATACAACAATAAGAATATCAAGAATAATAAATACCTAAAAACAACAAGAGTGTGTCAGTGTGGGACTGTGAATTAAAATTTTGTTGATCACTAAAACATTTTGGTGTGACGGTAACTGATGGGTTGCCTATTGTTACAGTGCAGCTGGAGCATTACCTATGCCTGGGAGAGAGCTTCTCCCATCAGCATAGATCCTTCACTTCCCCCACCTCGCACTGTCTACACTGGGAATTAGGTCGGTATAACTACGTCACTCAGGAGTGTGGATTTTCCACACTCCTGAGCGACGTAATTATACGGACATAAGTTTGTAGTATAGACCATGGCTAGGGGTCAGATTCTCCTCTCAGATCTGCATATAAGAACGTAGGATATGGCATAATAATTTGGACATAGAGCTTGCTAAATAGAGTGAAAATGTATTCCCAAATACTGTATTTCAGTTTGATTGAATGGCTGATATAGTCCGGTGTACTTCTAACAAGGGCCCCATATGGGGGTGGAGGTGGGAGGAAGAACAAGACGATGCATGAAGTAGCCCTTTGGGCCTTCTCCTCTCATCATACCTGCCCATCACTCACTCTACCATGACGAACTCTCTCTAGGAGAGGGCTTTGCATTTCTGAAGGGATATGTGCCTCTGCCACTCACCCACACACCAAGCCACACCTTGCACTGCACAACCACATCAATTAAGCTGTGCAAAGGGGGCCTCCACACCTACAGATTATGCATTTGCCTTGTAATGCACATCACATTTATTACAATGGTTGGGGTTCTAGCCAATGAAAGGATGACTCTGAAACATTCTAGACGGGGCAGCCAGAACAAGGTACTGGATAAACACAAAAGTGCATATGTCTCCATTGATCTCTCTTTTGGGGAAACACTAAGGACCAGATCATGGCTGCCTCTGTGAGCAAATGGGCAGGGATGGGATGGTGCCCAGTCAGTAGAGCCGAGACTGCATAAGTGTGGGGAGCAGTATACTACACCTGGGTGAGGGGGTGGAGCAAATTACTACTCCCTTGGAGCAAGGGAGACACCGTGACTCTGAGTCAGGCTTCCTCCCCAGGGCTCCTGCTCGGCTGGTGCAGCTACTCATCACCCCTTACACAAGGCAGTGCTTAATAGGCACAATCTACCCTTGACTGTGTTTGGTAAAAATGTGGGTCAGGAACCTGTCCACAGTGCATTGTATACACATCAACCCAAAAGCTCAAAGCAAGAGCTATCTAGGTACTTATATGGCTCCCACCACTGTAATATCTCACAAACATTAATGCATTTATCCTCACTACACCTCTGTGAGGCAGAGAAGTACTATTATCCCCATCTTACAGATAGGAAAATTAAAGCACAGAGAGATAAAGGGAGTGATTTCCAAAAAGATGTGATTGGGAGCTAGGCACCTAACTGCTCTTTGTGTTTTTGAAATCTCCCCCTAAGTGACTGCTGAAGGTCACACAGGCAGAGGCCAGAAAAGAACACATCACCTGAGTCCCAGCCCTGTACCTCTGCAGGACCATCGCTAGAGTCTGACAGAAATTCTATTGTTCTGGTTATCCATCAAGATCACCCAAAATCTGCAAGGTTTTGCAAAGGACTCTTCAGAAGACTAAAATTTGACCTGAAGTTTGCTGATGTGAAAGCATTCTCATATCAGGTATTAATATTCCCCCTCCATAGAGCCAGTCAGGTTAGTCCAACATTGCGACACTTTCATAATATCCAATTGAAAGAAGTTACAAGTTAGTAAAACACACTGCACAAGCCATATTTTAGCAAATATCATTTATCACAGATGGAAAGTTGCTGAGTAAATCCTTTTGACTTTGCACCATCACATTCATCCTTGTTCCAAATAATGTAATTCTAACATGGTATTGATATTTTTTTCCACTCACCTCCGCTCCCCCCCCCGCCCCCTTTAAAGCTGATATCTAAAATTCACTTGATGAAAGTAAGTTTTATATTTGTCTCCTTATGGAAGCATGCGGAAGATGTGCTTAGCTGTATTGATCCTGGAGGAAATGTGGACAAGGTAGATAATGTGAAACCTTTATTGCCATTACTGGCTGTTATACAGGATCTGGAGATTTTTTACATTTTATTTACTAGATTTGTTCAGACACTTGCACTTGCAGTGACCCCAGTCTGTGTATGGAGCAGACCCTCCATGCACAGATCACACTCCCCCCGCACAGAAGGAAAGAGTCAGCTGTTTTTGTGGCAGAACTCTGTGTCCAGACTCTATGGAGAGTGCTCTCCGGATCTACAAGGGAAAGGGAGTTGGCAGAATGTGTAGGCAAGTTGGGGGATTGTTGGGCACACATAATCTGCACCCAGCAGGAAAAAAGGCCTTAGGTTGTTAGTTTTTCGAACTGCTCACAATGCTATGGTGGAGAGATACCCCTTAAATTATGTTCCATGGGGCAGCTGCTAATTAAAGATACCCCCATCAACTTGGCTCACTTGGAGTTGCACAGCCAGAAAGCAGAGAAGGGGCATTACAGATACTCAGGATTCCCAGGTGCCTGGCAGTAGAGATGGGAAGAAATTGAGGTGTAGTGTTTGTACGTAAATCCCAATGCCTGTTCAGGGGGGAGGAGGACTCTGCTATCTTAATGAAATGATCGGTGACAAATCTCTGGAATCCAGTTAGCACCCCCTTTTTCCTCTGAGATATTACTGCACAGATGGGAAGTTGGAGGGGGGGGTCTATGCTTTTAGGACTTTTTTCCTTTTCTGATAAACAGTGTATATTCTTTCAAGCCTAACAATGGGCCAAATCCTAAAGTTCTTTCTCAAGCGAACTCCCATTGAACTCAATAGGGGTTTGCCAAAGTAAAAATTGAATAAGAACCTCAGAATACAGCCCATTCCATTTGATAACTATCATCTCATTGAGTTTGTTTTTCATTTCACAAGAATTGTGCAATATGCTGCAATAAAAACTAGTCAGGTTTTTAAATTTTATTCTTTCTAGACTATGTGTACTTTGTGACCGTTTTCATCGCAAACAGGCTAAGACCTGGAGTATGCAAGATGTGAGATACATGTACACACTGAAATCTAAGGGACACCTCTCATCTGCAATCTATTTAAAATGACCACTTGAATGCACTCCCAAGATTTCCACTGCAATTTGTTTTAATGTAAGGACTCATTTGTATTAGGCCACTGATTTTTGCTGGTCCCTCGGTTGATCACTAACATAAACAAAAGTTTCAGTGCACGTGTGTACACACACACAAGGTATATGAGGGTAGACAGCAAATATATAGATACATCTACAGACTAATGTTAGAAAGAGAGATCAAAATCAAAATCCTGGAAATTTCCCTTATCTTCGATGGCATTCAGAGTCATAAAGCCAGATCAGGGCCCAGCTTTAACAACTGGCCTCCCTCCCCATAATAGGTGAAAGCAAATATCAGATCTCAACAACCCCAACAGCTGAGGTTTTCAAAAGACAAGTTTTGAAGCTCAGGTCCATCTGTATTATACACAGTTATGTTTTATGTTTCTTGATCATGCAGGTCTGGGAAGTCTTGATCAATGACTTCCTAGAAAGGATTATGCAGGAAAGGATCTGGGGATTACAGTGGATCACCAATTAAATATGAGTCATCCATGTAATATTGTAGCAAAAAAAGGTGAACATCTGTGATGTATTAGAAGGACTGTTGAAAGAAAGATGTGAGAAGTAGTTCTTCTTAACTGAAGCATTATGTCCATTGTGGGCACCACACTTAGGAAAAAGATGGAGAAATTGGATAAAGTCCAGAGGAGAGCAACAAAAATGATTAAGGGTCTAGAAAATATGACCTACAAGGAAATACTGAAAAAAAATTAGGTTTGTTTAGTCTGGAGAAGAGAAGGTTGGGGATGGGGAGATAAAATAGTCTTCAATTATGTAAAAGGTTGTTACAAAGAGGAGGGTGATAAATTGGCCTCCGTGTCCACTGAGATTAGAAAAAGAAGTAATGGACTTAATTTGTAGCAAAAGAGATTTAGTTTGGACATTAGGAAAAACTTCCTAACTGTCAGGGTAGTTAAGCACTGAAACAAATTACCTACGAAGTTTATGGAATCTCCATCACTGGAGGTTTTTAAGAACAAACTTAGCCCTGCCTCAGAACTAAGTTTACCATTTCAGAGTCTGGACTCTGCCATTTCAGCCAACATCTCCCTGTTTCTCCCCATACCATATATTTACTGGAACTCCTGTTTCTTTTGCTGGGCCCTGTAAATTACATAGCCTGCACGTGGTGTTTTATCATGAAATCAATCTTCACTTAAAAAAAAAGAAACCTTGTCATGAGGTCAGTGTGGCCTTTTTTATAAAAATACAGATCTATTACGTTCACATCCATCTGGTCAAATCTCCTTTCTAAATTGGCTCCCTGATCTGAAATACCAGTCCACTTCCATGATAATAATTGTGATTGGCATAAAGCTTGCCTAATCACAATAAATCCTGCTGTAGACTAAGGGATCTGTCCTGCCCTTGCTGACCCTCCTGTGTATTTCAGATTTTCACACAGTTTGAATAAAAAAAGTGCCAGTACACTCTTATTCAAATTAAGCTAACTCTGCATCCTGATTGTTAAAATTTGCATATTAAAAATACTGGGGTATGTAAATCCACAAGTTAGAAGATGAAGTTAAAGGTGTGAAAGTGGCCCAAATGTCCAAAGATATGCACTTTGGGCCAGATCCTCAGCTGGTGCCAACTGGTATAGCTCCATTGACTTTAATGTACCCAGGCCAATTTACCTCAGCTGAGGATCTGGCCTGTTTCTTTAAAAAAAATGTTGTTGATGTGTTGGCAAAATTGGGTCTGTAAATTATAGCTGCCCTTGAGGCACTTAAACACGAGTGACCAGTGCTTATTTAGTTGACCCCCATAGTTCTTGCTATCCTTGGTAGTATTACAGGGGTAATATCTTTTAACATGGATGAACAGCTCTTGAACAATTTTTCCAAAGAATTAAACATGAACAGGCTTTCTTTAAC